TTGGAGCCCATCAGCGAATCCACCGGGGAAAGAGGCCTCAGGAATGCTGGAAGCGCCGCAAAAGTTTTCCGGAGAGATGGTGTCTTTCTAGGCCTCAGAACAGCCCAACTGAAGAGAAGGCCTGCAAGTGTGTGCAGTGTGGGCTGTGCTTTTCTCAAATGTCAGAGTTTCTTAAACATCAGCAAATCCATACCAGAGAACAACCTTATAAAAGTCTGGAGTATGGCAAATCATTCAATGAAAAATTGACCCTTAAGACCCATGAGAAACGTCACACAGGAGAGAAACCTTACAAATACATGCAATGTGGAAAGAGTGTTGCTGGTAATCTGCAGCTTTGGGTCCATGAGAAACTTCACACAGGAAAAAAATCTTATAAATGCTTTGAGTGTGGAAAATGTTTCACTCGAAGTTCATATCTTCGGAGCCATGAGAAAACACACAGAGGGGAGAAAAATGAAAAGTGCCTAGAATGTGGGAAATATTTTTCCCAGAAGTCAGACCTAGTGCGACATCAGAGAATTCACACTGGAGACACACCCTATGAATGCCCTGAATGTGAGAAACGATTTGTGAATTCTTTTGGACTTCGGAGACACCGGATGAGGCACAAAGGAGAGAAACCGTATAAATGTGAGGAGTGTGGCAAAAGTTTTATTTCACTAGCAAGCCTTCTGATTCATCAGAGAATCCACACGGGGGAGAAACCATACAAGTGTGGGGAATGTGGGAAATGTTTTGCTCAAAAGGGAGGACTTTGGGAACATCAGAAAATTCACACAGGGGAGAAGCCCTATCAATGCATTGAGTGTGGAACATTTTTTCGTACAATATCAGGCTTAAGATGTCATGTGAAAGTGCACACAGGGGAAAAAAATTACAAATGTTTAGACTGTGGGAAAGCATTTGCTTCTTCATCATCCCTTAGAAATGAAAAAAATTACAAATGTTTAGACTGTGGGAAAGCATTTGCTTCTTCATCATCCCTTAGAAATGAAAAAAATTACAAATGTTTAGACTGTGGGAAAGCATTTGCTTCTTCATCATCCCTTAGAAATCACAACCGCATAAGTCATATAGGGGAGACGCCCTATAAATGCTTGGAGTGCAATAAATGTTTTTCCAGGAAAGATACTCTTTTGAAGCATCAGAGAATTCATACTGGAGAAAAACCTTATCAGTGCCTGGAGTGTGGGAAATCTTTTCCTTACAAAGAATATCTTAGAAACCACGAGAGAATTCACACAGGAGAGAAACCTTACAAGTGTGGGCAATGTGGGAAGTGTTTTACTCGCAACTCACAGCTTTGTGTCCATCAGAAAATTCACACAGGAATAAAACCTTATAAATGCCTTGAGTGTGGAAAAACCTTCACTCGGAATTCATCTCTTCGGAGTCATAAGAAAATACACAAAGGGCAGAAAAATGAAAAGTGCCTAGAATGCGGGAAATGTTTTTCCAGGAAATCAAACTTGGTGCGACATCAGAGAGTTCACACTGGGGATAGACCCTATGAAGGCCCAGAATGTGAAAAACGATTTGTGGATTCTTCTGAACTTCGGAGACACCAGAAGGGGCACAGAGGAGAGAAGCCGTATATATGTGGTTTTTGTGGGAAAAGCTTTATCTCAGCAACAAAGGTTCAGATTCATCAGAGAATTCACACAGGGGAAAAGCCGTACGAATGCAGGGAGTGTGGGAAAGGTTTTATCTCAGCAACAAAGGTTCGGATTCATCAGAGAATCCACACGGGGGAGAAGCCATACAAATGTGGGGAATGTGGGAAATGCTTTTCCCAAAAAGAATACCTTGGAACCCATCAGAGGGTCCATGCAGGAGTGATACCATACGGATGCATAGAATGTGGGAAATGTTTTGCTCAAAAGGCAAGATTTCTGGAACATCAGAACATTCATACAGGTGAGAAGCCCTATCAATGCATTGAGTGTGGAATATTTTTTCATATCAAATCGGGCCTTAGACGTCATATGAAAGTTCACACAGAGGAAAAAAAATACAAATGTTTAGACTGTGGGAGAGCATTTGCTTATTCGTCATCCCTTAGAAATCACAGCCGCCTAATACATATAGGAGAGAGGCCCCATAAATGCTTGGAGTGTGAAAAATGTTTTTCCAGGAAAGAAACTCTTTTGAAGCATCAGAGAATTCATACTGGAGAAAAACCTTATCAGTGCTTGATGTGTGGGAAATCTTTTCCTTACAAAGAATGTCTTACAAACCATGAGAGAATTCACACAGGAGAGAAACCTTACAAGTGTCCGCAATGTGGGAAGCGTTTTACTCGCAACTCACAACTTTGGGTCCATAAGAAGTTTCATACAGGAATAAAACCTTATAAATGCTTTAAGTGTGGAAAATGTTTTGCTCGAAGTTCATATCTTCGGAGCCATGAGAAAACACACAGTGGGGAGAAAAATGAAAAGTGCCTAGAGTGTGGGAAATGTTTATCCAGCAAATCAAGCCTGGTGCGACATCAGAGAATTCACACCGGAGACAGACCCTATGAATGCCCAGAATGTGAGAAGCGATTTTTGGAAGCTGCTGAACTTCGGAGACACCAGAAGGGGCACAGAGGAGAGAAACAGTATATATGTGGGGAGTGTGGGAAAAGTTTTATCTCAGCAACACAGGTTCGGATTCATCAGAGAATCCACACAGGGGAGAAGCCATACAAATGTGGGGAGTGTGGGAAATGCTTTTCCCAAAAACAACACCTTGGAAGGCATCAGAGGATGCCATACAAATGTGGGGAGTGTGGGAAATGCTTTTCCCAAAAACAACACCTTGGAAGGCATCAGAGGATGCCATACAAATGTGGGGAGTGTGGGAAATGCTTTTCCCAAAAACAACACCTTGGAAGGCATCAGAGGATGCCATACAAATGTGGGGAGTGTGGGAAATGCTTTTCCCAAAAACAACACCTTGGAAGGCATCAGAGGATCCATGCAGGAGTGAAGCCATAGAGGTGCGTAGAATGTGGGAAATCTTTTGATCAAAAGGCAGTACTTTGTAAACTTCAGAAAATTCACACAGGGGAAAAGCCCTATCTATACACTGAATGTGGAAAATTAGTTTGTAGTGGATCAGTCCTTAGAAGTTATATGAAAGTTCACACAGGGGAAAAAATTATAAATGATTAGACTGTGGGAGAGCATTTGCTTGTCAATCATCCCTTAGAAATCACAGCCACCTAATGGATATAGGAGAGACATCCCATAAATGCTTGGAGTGTGTTTTTATTTGAAAGGTGGTCTTTTGCAGCAACAGAGAATTCACACTTGAGAAAAACTTTATCAGGGTTTAGAAGGTGGCAAATGGTTTACCTGATACAGGTAGTCCTTGACTTACAACCACAATAGAGACCAGAACTTCCATTGCTAAGCGATGTGGTCATTAAGTGACTCGCGTGAGACTTTACAACCCTTTTTGCCATAGTCATTAAGTAAATCAGCATGGTCATTTAGTGAATCATTTGTTCATTAAGCAAATCTGGCATCCTTGTTGATTTTGCTTGTTGGAGGCCCCGTGGGAAGGTTGCAAATGGTGATCATGTGACCCCGGGACACTGCAACTGTCATAAATACATGCTAGTTGCCAAGCACTGAAATTTTGATCACGTGACCATGGGGACACTGTGATGGTCATAACTGCAAGGACTGGTTGTAAGTCACTTTTTTCAGCACCCAGTGTAACTTTGAACAGTTGTTAAATGAAAGGTCATAAGTCAAGGACTACCTGTAATCAGATCTTCAGGTGCACATGAAAAATCACACAGGAAAGAAAGCTTACACGTGTGTAGAGTAAGAAACTTTTCTTTGCTAATCAAAATTTAATATGCAGCAATCCATACAGGAGAAAAACCCTTCAGTTTTGAACAGTGTGGGAAATGGTTCTCTCAAAAGTTACACGTTAATGTTTACTAGAACGTTCACTGAATAACAGTAGTGAAATCTTACAAATATTTGGTCTATGGGAAACGTTTCTCACGATCAGGAAACCTTCAGATGCAACAGAATCACAAAAAATCACATCAGTGTTGGTAGTGTGGGGAAAGTTTTGATCAGGAAGCAGCGTTAGTGACTCATCAGAGAGTCCACACAGGAGGAAACAGAGTATAGTGGTACCTCGGTTCACGAACTTAATTCGTTCCGTGACTCTGGTCGCGAACCGAATTGGTCGGGACCCGAATCAAATTTTCCCATAAGGTT